TGACCCAAGAGCTGACCCCCGGGGTTAATCTCCCGGGAGTTGTCGAGTCGATGTTCGATCAACGATGACCCTATTATCAAACATATATCTCGCCAGATGTGCTGTCACTTAAAGCCTGTGCTGGGTCGTGGCTTAATCACTTGCAAACACTTGAGGCAGCAAACTAGAAATATCTTGTTCATGATACCATTTCATCTCTTCCTCGCAGTGTATGTTGCGCTTCGATCGCTGTTGAATGTTTTACATCATAGGACTATCCTTCGCAACACTCAGATATCCTGGAACTCCGAGCAACCGACTACTCCTAGATGCGAGAGACGCCATACTGCAGCCGCTGTGCAGCTTTGAAGTATACGCACATACAGACAAATCCATTGTCCGGATGCACTATTGTGGACGGTTTCTCGCCAGTCAAGTCCGAGACGGATTCGTGTCTCCGAAAAACATTCAGCACCCCACCCAGTCACACTGAAGTCGCCGCACTGAGGGTGTTCTGCTATGCATAAGTCAAGGGACCGTTGATCAAACCGTGAACACCCATATAATGTGAAACTTACCCATCTCGATGTTGTCGACAGTAGTGGACGATATGCGGGGCAGGCTGCCTTGAGTGCTTGGGACAGATGTGGAGAATGCTAAGCCCGATGTTCTCATGGCAGAGCTCGGTCTCGAATTGTTTATTGCGCAGCAGAACTTCTGCATTTGAACCGCCAGAGATGCTGGAATCAGACTCGCGAGGTTTGAACGATTGGAGGCAGAATTTTTGGGATGGTGGCATGCCCGGCGGCGGAGCTGACTGTGATTGTTAGGCGGGAAAGTAGATCTGCGGCAGGAATTTTGGGTTGCAAGCAGACGCATAGGGATTTGTATCGCAAAGAAGATTGGATGATCGAGTTTCACAATAGGAAATCGTTTCAAAGAAGACAAACCGAGCTCTGAGACAAGATTTCCATTGTAATATGTTTGAGATGCGTATGAAGTTTGATCCACAACAAAAAGATCTTCAGAGAGGGTGGCTGGCGACAGCACCTGGGACGCATGCGTTGTGTGGACACTAACAGCTGAAGGTTAGAGGGATTGTCATTACTTCCCTCGTGGCGAAGTGATTCATCTGCAAGCCCCTGTGACCTTTGCCCTGCAAGGTTCGACGCTGAATGCCGTAGGATCAGCGGAAACTGCTTCCGGCAGCCACGGCACAGAGGGGTTGCCGATAATCTTGCTTTGGGTAATCTGCACCCCTCCTACTGTCTGGGATTCGGAGCAGAGCAGCACACGTTATCTCATAGGTGGGGACAAAAACCAGCCAGCCGGGTCTGAGAACAAACAATTGTACTCGCACAAAGATTTAGTTCCAGTCGCCGCCCAAGAAATATCAGGGTCTATGTACGTGATCAGAAGTGCATGAGATCGTTTATTTTCTAGGGAAGATATAATGCAAAGGTGTTCAGACTTGATGGAAATACAGTGCTACCCAGTGGCCGGAAGACGGGAGGCCTCATCAATTAAACCTTGGGCAGGCCAATCATGCAGTGTAGGTATTGCTTCTCATCACACATGTATATTTGCTTTTGTCGTTTCGGAGGTCCGATCTCGATCTAGGTGTGAACCAGTCAAGGATTGGGATTTGGAACGCAAAGGTGTAGCCATCGGATTCCTTCAGCTGGGTTGTGTAGGTGCTCTTGCGTATACATAGTTACTTGCAGTCGCAGGCCCATAGATATTCATACATTTATAGGCAACCGGCGTGAGCCCCGGCTGTCGATGCAGCACCCCGGCAGATCATCCATATACCAGGCGCCGGCACAAGTTGATCGGACCGCTCCAAGCAGCTCAGTGCTCGCATGATCGTGCAGCACTGGGACAGGCCTTTCCACCTGGTTTTACCCGCCTCCTTGCGACTCCCCCTGTGGAGCGAACACCTACTCAATCCCCTGGCGTCGCTCAGCCGACTCAAACCACTCCCCTGAGGCTGTTCACCTGCTTCAGGAGAGTGTAAAAAAGCGACCGCGCAGGGGCCGAACACAGCCTCATCTTCTGCAAGTGACATTGAATGAGTCCTTGAGGCTATGCGGGTGCCGCTCCAGGGCGGGCGAGGAAGGAAAAGTAGGTCATCCGTGTTCCAATCACTGCGATCAAGTTCACAACCAGTAACAGCTTTTGAAGGATTCCGTCATTCCGATTGACTCCATTCTCACCGGGCACGAGAGCCCGACTACAACCCTGGTTAGATCGGACAGCCACGAGGATGGAGCCTCGCCTCAAGGACCATCGGCGATGATCTCGGAGAAGTCGTTTCTGGATGACCAGACCCATTGTCCTTGCTCGCCTATATTATTCTCACTCCTAGTCATTCTGGCTGAAAGCAAGGCTCAATGGACTTCGCATTTTCTAGCCAGGTTACTCCAGTGGGGGAGTCGAATGTTGTGGGAAAGCCTCTGCATGGATCACCTACGACAGCTATATCGCCATGCAATCCAGTCAGATGGGCAGGATCTAGATCGTTCTCTTATGATTCAAGATCTTCAACAACTTTCACCCACCCTCAACGGCGAGGAGGCGAGCATGCCCGACGACTTCCCCGACTTCTTACCAACGCCGGCGGCCGGGAAACAGGAGAGGCCGATACCCAACGCTTTTTAGAGTTCTGTGAAGGATGAACCGTCTTTATGGTCCTCACTCCAGTAAAATGGGTATCTTCATATTCCAGGTTTCTTCGCTTACACGAAAACGCGCGGCATCTTCCCACGCGTGCGCCATACTTTAGCCCGAATACGCCTCCGACGACCAGGGCCAGGTCCTCAGTCAAAAGTGCTATCAATTTCTCCATCAAATGATCCAACAAGATCCTGCGTACTACGCGGTTGTCGCATCCTGTCGTCCGGATGGGTAGTGGAGATTACTCAATTAGTTGATGGATTCCGTTTCTACTTCGGTAGCGGGCGGGATGCTTTCTGTACCAGGGTCAGTCCAGCGCGAAGGTGATCTCAAAGTACAGTTACGCTCCCTACCTTCTGCAAAGAACACTGCGTGAATTCCGTGCCGGGCTCCCACACCATGTTCGCCCCTTCTCACAAGAACGAGTATCAACCAGCAGCTATGATGGAGATGGGCGAACCGAGCTCTATTCTATCCGAATGCGACCGGGGGATCTGCTCCTCACCATGCCGCATCTGCTTCGCTTCCCACAAACCTTCGCATCTCATGCGCTAGTGAACCTGTCCCAGGATGCGGCGGACCTTCGAGGAAATACAATAGGATGGAGTCGTCAGCTCTCCACGTCAGCCCTACCTGAGCTTTCAGATGCTCCAGAGACACGAGAAGCATTTGCTTGCAACGAACCTCTAGAGTGACCTATCCGAGCCTGATACTGAGTCTGCCTAGCTGTTCCATCACGAAGGCACTCCTACTTGTCTATCTTTCTGCCTTGAAGACTTGAAACCCGGGAGTCAGAATCAGCCTTGCCTGTTCTGCAGGTTCCATGCAAGAAGACCTCTAGCGCAATGCCCAGGCACCTTTATCTGCCGACGTACTCTGACCGAGGTCTGTTTGTGAAGCGATGGGGTTCTCTTTCAAGCAGTGTGTCTTGCAACACCAGTTCATGACGAAGTCGGCTAACAGGTCTTGGTGTTTACAGGAAGAGCAGAACCAAAGTCTCCAGCTCACGTACTTTGGACGTTGTGGGAGACTATAACGGAGTTCACCATCTCATCATGGAGACTGGCTCTTTCGTCAATGGTTCTGCATGCCACTTCCCTTGTCGACGCATCCGTTCAACAGCTCTAACTACTAGTGGTACTGACATATCCGCATTGATTTCATCTGCTTTCACATGTGGATATGCATTCGCGACACAGCAGCCTGCGATACTGGCTGCAATGAATATGTTGAATGATACAATTGCAAAGAATTCAATGATCTCTCCGGTTGCATCCAGCCCCCAATCATCATGAGTAATGGGCGTGACTCCGCAATCCACCGCCCTTCGCGAAATCCCTGGAGGCTACTTCGTGTCCGAGTGGCAAGACAGTAGTACTACCAAGCGCGCTGAGTATGATTCCTTTTGCAATGCACAAGGGAGTGTCCCGGATGTCTATCTATGGGATTGAATGGTTTTTGTATGGCGCAGGAGTGTTCCGAGCTGGGTATGCGGATGTTGCGCTTAAATGAGGGTTACGAGACAGTGGTGCCTAAGGTGAGGAGGGGTGGGTGGAGTTTGGGAAGGAGTGGAGAAAGATCGCTGACTGAATGTGCGGGGGTATGATGATGCTGTACAAAGTGTCACTCAAAGCCTCAATATGCACGGGTACGGAGTACTGAGGTGGATTCAGCCATTGCTTACCGACATATGAATGATGAGGTGCAAGGGGCTCAAGCAATTCATTACCGTCACAATACAACTAATCAGAAGCCATTCTGCAAGACCACTTGGTTTGCGACAGGATCTACATGATAATAGCGGACGCCAGACCAGGGCCTATTCGGTCTTTTCCGACAGCAAGGGGGATCCGGGGACATCCGATATGTCACATCGATAGGCCTACAGCACAAATGATGTGTCATTGGCTGGTGCTTGCTTCCAGCGACTTGAGAGATGAGGTATCAGCCGACGATCAGGTCAAATGACCTGATCTATGTCCATTCCCTGTGCTCAACTGCGGCAATCTGATTGACAAGAGTCTTTAGAGATGAAGAGGGTCTGCTTTCATCGGCTCTCTACTGTTTCCTTGCAGATAAAACAAGTCATGTGCTGACATGTCACTTATGCCACGTAAGATGCACTAATTGGAAGCGGGCAGTCCAGGGAGCACATACGAGATAACATGCACTCAGGTAAAATTCAAAGGGTGATCGAAACTTTACACTCGAAAATGTCTCTCTTAAAAGAAGTTGCCTCCTTAAGGGCCTCGAAATAGCGTCAACCGCTGCCTTTCTCCCAATCCAGCTTTTGCAAACAAACCCACGCCATGGCCTCTTACGCCACGTCTTTTATCGAGCAGATAATGCAAGCCCGCGTGGTCGAGTCCACCAAGCAGAAGCTTGGAGGCCGGGTGGTGTATGCACTCCAATACTCCAAGGATGACCCGTTGACCTATCTCGGGGACACCGGGGCCGAGTCACAACGAGAGGTGTTGGTGGTCGTCAAGACGCCCAGGTTCTGGAGTCGACTGTTAGCGGGTGCTGACTTGGTAAGAACCACCGTCGAGGTGTATCTTCCCAAGTATTCCCGGGCGCAGAACTGATCTACTAGGGCTTCGCCGAGTCGTATATGCTCCAGGACATCGACTGCGAGGAGGACCAACTGCTCAAGCTCTTTCAGGTGAGAGCCTCCCTTTACCGAGTAGTTCTCACCGACAAAAACATTAACCAGGAATTGAACAAGATCAGCTGCTCTCCCAGCACCGCGGAGGCTTCCGTCGGAGCTGGCTTCATCAATTTGCCACAGGCGCGGCGCAGATGCTGAAACGCAGCAATGACGTCGAGCAGGCGCAGATCAACATATCTGCGCACTACGACACCTCGAACGTGCTCTTCGCCAACATCCTCTCCCCGGACATGAACTACTCCTGCGCGCACTGGTCCGCCGAACCCACCGAGACGCTCGAGACGGCGCAGCGCCGCAAGGTGCAGACCCTGCTGCGCAAGGCCCGAATCTCGGCCGGCCACCACATCCTCGACATCGGCTGCGGCTGGGGAGACCTTAGCATCCAGGCCGCGCTGACCCATCCCGAATGCCGCGTCACGGGGATCACACTGTCGAGGGAGCAAAAAAGCTGGGCGGAGGCGCGAATCCAGGCGGTGGGGCTGCAGGATCGCGTGGAGATTCTGTTCTGCGACTACCGCCAAGTGAGCCCGCCGGAGGATGGCGGGTATTACGACCGCATTATCTCCGTGGGCATGTTCGAGCACGTCGGCCGGGAGTATTTGCCGGAATACTTTACGACAATTTCGCGGCTGTTGGACCCCAAGCATGGCATCCTGGTGTTGGACGGGATCACAGCCATCAATCGAGTATGGGACCACTAAACAATTGCATCAGGAACTGGAAGCTAACAAGTGGTAATGCGCCATCAGATCCACGGCCTCCAGGCGCGATCAGACCTCTTCATGCTCAAGTATATCTTTCCCGGCGGCTATCTTCCGACTATCGGCATGCTGCTCGATCACATCCACGAAGGCTCCGGCAAGAGTCTGGAGGTGACGTCGGCCGAAAGCTCAGGATCGCACTATGGCAAGTCGTTGCAGGTGTGGCGCGAGAATTTCACGCGCAATTGGGAGGCGATCCGGGAGGACTACGAGAAAGAGAATCCTTCTTGTACGGCATTCGAGGTTGAGACCTTCCGACGGAAGTGGCTGGTATGTTTTCTGCTACGGTAAAGAGTTCGTGGAGTCTTTTGTTAACACCGTCTACAGTACTATTTTGTCGTGGCGGAGACCAGCTTTCGGTTGCAGCTGCTGAACAATTTCACTATCACGGCGGCGCGGACTCCGGGTTCGGCTTTGAGCTATGAGTCGCTTCCGTATGTGTGACGGCTTAGAACTGGTTGTGGGTGAGGCCTGTAAAAGTCAAGCAAGACGAATAACAATCCATCAACGACTAGTATTTACACTTGATATGTATGAAGGGATCGGGCCAGTACGCGCCCCAGTCCCTGATGAACCTCGACCTGGAAGGGCTCAAAGGGGTAGCGCTCCCCATCCACGCTGATCCACCCCTCGGATGCCCGGGGGCTCAAGCGATAGGCGAGAACCTTGCGCATGTGCACCTTGGCCAGCTCGTAGCATCGTCCCCCAGGTAGCTTGACGATCGCCTCCACGGCGCCGGCATACCCGATGGTTTCATCGATGGTCATGACATCCAGGAGTCCGTCGTTCGGCAGCGCTGCCGGGAAGAACTGGGTGTCTTTGGCCACGATGGCCATCTTACTGGCGTAGAAGCTTGCGAGCCGTTCCCCGGAGATCACCGCCCAGTCCGGCGGGAGCTCGTTCTGGACGGTGCCATATTTCAGTACCAGCCTTGCCTTCCCTGGCTCACTCGCGGCCTCCCGGGCTGCAGAAGATGCAACCGTGGGCTCAAAGGATCCAAGCGTAGCCTTGGTGGGAGCAGCAGCAGCAGCAGCAACGCCCGCATCAAAATGCCGGGGTATACTCCCTCCCCCCTGACTCACCGTCTTGAACGCCAACTCGCAAGGAAACGCCGTCTGGCGCGCGATTGTCTGCACCACTCCTAGCAGAAACCGCGAGTCGCCCATCCAGCGCAGATGCTCTGTCCGTAAATCTGACTCGGCGAGCACCCCCAGTGACTGAGACAGGAATGAAACCGAGTGAGCATCTCCCTGCGTGACGGACATCAGATCGAGCGGAACGGTCACGCCCTTGACGATCGCCAGCGCAGCGCGGGCCACACTGCCCGTACCTAGCAGGTTCCAGGCCATCGCATTGCCGGACCCGCATGGCAGCATAGCGACGGCGAGGCTCGTCAATGCGCGGACCGCGTCCGGCCGGCGCGCCAGCCCGTTGAACACCTCGTGCGGCAGCCCATCGCCCGAGCAGCACACAACCGCGTCGTAGCGGGATCGCTCGAGATGCTCGGCGATCAGCCCGGCGTGGCCGCGGTACTGGGTCTGCTCGAGGTCGATCTGGCAAGCAGCGGCGAGGAGGATGGGCGCGGCGGAGTGTCGATACTTGGTCGCTGCGCCGGTGCAGAAGGGGTTGATGAGGATTTTCAGGCGTTTGTGAGGCTGGGCGCAGCCGTACGCGAGGGTGAGGAGGTGCGTTGTCCATTCCTGAATGCGTGGGTCGTCGTGGCTGTTGGTCCGGTACTGCAGGATGTCGAGGTGGGCTTTGTCGTCGGTGTGATGGGCGACGTAGCTGATGACTAGGGTGTTGTGGCTATGATGAGCGTTGAGGACAGCGTAGAGGTCAATTTGGTGGCTGGGGGAGGGGTCCCCTGAATGCGGATGAGAAAGGTTATCAGTTTCGAGAGGTTGTGTACCAACCTCGGAGCGAGAGTAGGCCGCAGCAGGATTGCCTGGTTCTGCGCCTGCGTCGAGCGGGACGGTCGTCTGCACATTTTAGTATACTAGTTTTGTTGCTTGGAGTAGAAGAAAACCCTACCGGTGATGGTGAGGAAGTCATTCCCTACCGTGAAAGACACAGCATTGGCTAGTATGATGGTTGCAGGTGGTTCAGGTGGCGTCGTCATTTTCATTACTTTCACAAAGGGTGTGGTCTGGAAAGGAAGGTTTCGATGTCAAGAAAAAGCAGGAAAGTTGCTGATATGCAATCAGGGATTCCACAGATATGACACGCCTTTCTGGTCCCTTGCGTTTCGTATCTGACTCCTCACATTGTGCACATAATTTAGTCCTCGGGGTAAACACAGTCAGCTGACACAACATTTACAACATCAAGAACAACAGCAATCCACCCCAAGAGCAAGCAAAAAACTTGAACATACATGCCCGTAGTATACGCAAGCTAGTGAAGAATTTGCATTACTATATGCGATTATCAGTTCATAGCATACACATTACACCCACAGAACCGAGATATACCACAATACCATTTCTCAACTCACTCTCACCCAGCCTCCCTTTCCTCCAACAGAATCTCCCGACTAGCAGCAGCAGCATCACCAGCAGCAGGAAGCGTACTCCCCGTGGACTCCAACGGCTGCGTCGTGAACAACTCCCTCTCCATGGAGAACTCCCTTATAAACCACGAACTCAGCCACCCAACCCCCGCCACCCCGCACAGAAACACCCAGACATCCGCCAAGGCACGGGCATACGCGACCTTCAACGCCTCCTTCTCCAAACCCTTCGTGTCTGTCGGCATGCCCTTGAATACCTCGGACAGCATGGCCGCGTCCTGCGCATAGACGCCCGCCTGCGCCACCAGGGCTCCCACGCCACTGTGCCGGCAGTGGTAGCGCATGCGGTTCTGGAAGATCGAGCCCCCGAGTGCGACGCCCGCTGTGCGGCCGAGATTGCGCGCGGTGCTGATCATGGTCACGGCGATAGGCATGTGGTTCAGCGGGGCGGAGGATTGGATGGCCAGCGCCAGCGCCGGGTAGAGCACGCCCGCCCCGACGCCCACGGTGAGATTCAGCGCGATCCAGTGCGCGACCGCCGTCGTCACCGTCAGAAGGCGTAATAGCCCCAGTCCCACCGTCGACAGCGTCCAGCCCGTCCACAGCGCCCACCGGTAGTGCTGCGTGCGCGCGATCACGAAGGCCGTCGCGATCCCCGCCGGCGCCGTCGTGAAGGTCTCCGGGAACAGCGCCACCCCCGACATCACCATGCTGTAGCCATGCGCCACTTCATAGTACAGCGGGAGATAGTAGAGGAGCGTCCACAGGAGCATGCCCAGGATGAATGCCCCCATGTAGTTCAGGATGGTCGACCGGTTGTTGAAGATAGTGAACGGGATAAAAGCGTGGACGGAGGGAGGGAGGCGCCGCTCCCACAGAATGAAAGCCAACAACCCCGCAGCGCCCAGCAAAAGGGGCACCAGCGTGTGCCACGAGGTCCAGGGGTAGACCACTCCGCCCCAGGTAAGAGGGATGAGGAGGGCGGCCAGCGAGGTCAGGAAGAGACAGGCGCCGAGGTAGTCGAGACTGCGCAGGCTGGTTGGTGTGAGCGGGGGCTTCTGGAGCTGCAGTAGGAATGGCATCACCAGCAGCGCGAGCCCGATGAAGGGGAGGTTCAACCAGAAGATCCAGCGCCAGGAGGAGAGCTGGGCCAACGCGCCCCCGACCACCGGACCGCAGGCACTCCCAATCGCCCACGAGGCTCCCAACACCCCGAACCAAGTGCCACGCTGGGACAGGGGCAGCAGATCGGTGAGCAGGACTTCGGTCATGACGTTGAAGCCGCCCGCTCCGAGCCCCTGGAAGACTCGCCCACAGAGCATCGGCGTGAAGCCCAGCGCCGCCGCGCACTGCACCGAGCCGATGGTGAAGGTCACCAGCGAGATCACGATAGCCAGCTTACGTCCGAAGAGGTCCGAGATGACACACAGGATTGGTTGGATGAGGGTGGAGGCCACCAAAAACGAGGTCCCACACCAGAACGCACTGATGGAATCCCCCCCGAGGTCTTTAGTGATTACCTGGCTGCTTGTCAGAATCGCACTTCTTTCCGAGAGATACAAGGAGGTAGACATACTGGGAGTGCCACGGAAATCGAGGTCGAGTCCAGGGCAGCGGCAAGATTGACCAGGATCAGGGCTGAGAGAATCGCCACCACTCGCCATTCCGCCCCCAAGCATCCGCGGTCGTGTTTGCGAAACGATCGACTTCGTATGGTCGCTTGGAGGGATCGCATCGTCTGTGGTGTGAGGCGGTAGGGAAGGTATGAAGTAATCCATGAGTGGATGTTCTGAACGGAAAGGTGACAGCAAGGGCAAGGAAAAGGATGTCGTGTCCGCTTCCTAGTCGATCGATTGGTGCAATGTGCTAGGTCATAACCCCTTGCATACGGTGTTGTTCAACATACAGCATCATGCAGGATTGTCTCAGTATCGTAATTGATGTGACCCCCGTCGTCTATGCAGATCTCATCTCCCCAATGTTACCGGTATAGAAGTTAAGTCCATGACAGAGCCATAGCCGTCTAAACTCAATTTTCCATTTTGTCTTTATTTCTTCTTTCTTCTCCCCACAGATATCTGGTAAATAAGTTGAGTGACTCAGCCATAAGAGTTTGATCCCTCTTCTTCCACTGATCTAATCGATCTCCGCACTGCGACAGCCGGAATGTGGCATTCCAAACTCCCTTCCTGGTCTCAGCGAATTCGAGGGATTCCCACCACGATCCTCGTCATTCTCCCCATCACCACCATCTGCCTGATCCCCTGGGTTTCCCCCGACACGCGCACCCTATGGCTGATGTGGGGATATGGCTTTCACACCGGATTGTGCATTACAGCAGGTGGGTACACCAGCCAAGATCCCGGCTGGAAACCCTAATGCTGGATCACCTACTAATATCTTACCCCCCCCCCCCCAGGCTACCACCGTCTCTGGAGCCACCGTGCTTACCGCGCCACCGTCTTCCTGCGTCTCTACCTCGCCATCTTTGGCGCCGGCGCTCTCCAAGGCCCGATCCTGTGGTGGGCGCGCGAGCACCGCGCCCACCACCGCTACACCGACACCGTGCTGGACCCCTACAGCATCCGCGAGGGCCTGTTCCACTCGCATATGGGGTGGATGCTCCTGCGGCCACCACCAGCACCAGCAGCAGCAGCAGCAGCAGCAGCAGCAGCAGCAGCACCACGGCGCAAACACATCGACCTCTCCGACTTGACCGCTGATCCGATCGTGCGCTGGCAAGCGCGCCACTTCCGCTGGCTCGCCCCGCTGATGGGTTGGATCCTGCCGGCGGTGGTCGCGGGGATCTGCTTCGATGACTGGAAAGGCGGCTGTGTCTACGCAGCGTTGGGCAAAATGGTGCTTGTGCACCAGAGCACCTTCTGCATCAATTCATTGGCCCACTGGCTGGGCGACCAGCCCTACGACGACCGCGCTTCCCCGCGCGACAGTCTTCTGGCCGCCGTGCTGACTCTCGGGGAAGGGTATCATAATTTCCACCATACCTTTCCCCGGGACTACCGCAACGGGGTCAGATGGTATCACTGGGACTGCACGAAGTGGGTGATTGCCGGGTGGGAGTGGATAGGCTGGGCGGATGAGCTGCGGCGCGTGGCGGATGTGGATGTCGAGCGGGCCAGGGTCCAGGAATTGCAGAAAGGGTTGGCGAGGCGGCTGGCGGTGTTGCCTAGGGTTATTGATGTGGAGGATCTGTGGGTGATTGATTGGGAGGATTACCAGCGCATGGTGCGCCCGGATGAAGCCGGAAACCGCAGAGCGCTGCTCGCGGTGGACGGCGTCGTTCACGATTTGACGCACTTTGTGCACCAGCATCCCGGCGGCAGTCGGTTATTGCGCTCGTTTGTCGGCAAGGATGCTTCTGTAGTGTTCCATGGGGAGAGCATCTATCGCCATTCGAAGATCGCGAGGAATATTCTGGCCTCGTCGAGGGTTGCTGTGCTGGCTGGAGGGTGGGAGGTGGCACCTCAGGGTGAGATCCAGTGAGCTGGAAAGCTAAGGGCTTACTGTATTCCTACCGGACTAGAAGACACAGTAGCTTCATTTCTAGAAAGGTCTTTTGGCATCCTGAACCCCGTATTTGATCACCTCGCTCAAGGGCCACCGTGGTGGGCTCCGTGATTCTCGCCAGCTTCTGCCTCTGGTTTGCGGCGGGATTAAGGCGCCTGTCGCGGGGGTGCTCGACATCTTGATTTTCAATACATCCCCAATTTCGTCCAAGGCCGCCAGCGTCTGGTTCAGATCTGCCAGCGAGTGGGCGGCCGATACGCATAGGCGAGCCCGGCACAGCGCCAGGGGCACGGCGGGGACCGCGATGACCACCACCGCGATCTTGCGCTCCAGCATCAGCCGCGACAACACGGCCAGCTTGGCCGGGTTGATGACCAGCAGGGGCACAATGGGGGATTCGTCGTGGCCATAGATGATAAACCCCAGTCGTCTCAGCCCCAGGCGTAGATAACGGGAGTTGAAGGCCAGCTGTTGAAGGCGCTCCGCCCCGTGCCCTGGGACCAGCCCCTCGCCACTGATCATCCGCAGTGCTGTCGAGATCTGTGCGAGCACCGCAGGAGAAGGAGGCTCCCCGTATGTCAGAACCGGGTTGGTGGCGCGGAGTTGGTGGATCAGTTCGTGCGTGGCGGCGACATAACCCCCCGTGGCCCCGAAGGACTTGGTCAATGTCCCCATCAAGACGTCCACTTCGGCTGGGTCAACCCCAAGGTAGTCACAGACACCCCGTCCGCGTCCACCTAAAGCCCCGATTGAATGGGCTTCGTCGATAAAGAGATAGAATCGGTACCGCCGTTTCAGGGCAAGGATGGCGGGGAGATTGCACACGGTGCCCTCCATAGAATAGAGCCCTTCCACCACCACCAAGATCTTCTCCCAGGGATGGCGAGTCGACGGCTGGCCCTCGGCTATGGCCGTTCGGAGTTGTTTCTCCAGGGCGTGCATGTCATTGTGCTTGAAAATCGCGGTCGAAGCCCCGGAGAGGCGGGCCCCCATCCGAATCGATGCATGGTTCAGCTCGTCGGAGAGGATCAAACTGCGCGGGCCTACCAGGGACGGCAGCACGCTGGTGTTGGTGCTGAACCCCATAGAGAAGATGATGGATGCCTCTTTGCCCACAAACCGGGCCAGCACCTGCTCGACCTCGAGTTGCAGGGCGCAGGTCACGGCGGGGGAGCTACTGGCCGCACTGGTCCCGAGGCGATGGATGCTGTCCTCGACCGCGTCGGCGCAGGGCCCATCGGACTGGGCAAACCCCAGATAATTGTACGAGCTGAGGTTCAGGGCCTCTGTCCGCGTCCCCGTCAGGAAGAAGGACCGGTTCCTATCATGACTGCCACGATCGAGGAGGACGATTTTGCGCCCGGGCACCCCGGTGGTTGGTCGCATCGCGCAGTCGACCCCGCGCATGTTCAACCGGCGCATGTAGAAGCTCTCGGAGACGCTGATGATTGGGGCGTAGCCGTTCTGCGTCTTGAGGTGGTGACCCCCGCGACAAAGATACTGTCGGAAGAAGTCGCGTAGGTGGCCGATGATGACAAGCAGTAGACAGCTGAGGAGACCGGCCACCACGTGCGATAAGGGACCGGTCTCTACATCTTCTTCTGAAAGAAAAGCCTTGGGTTGACTGCTGTAGCGATGGTCAGGATGCCTGTCGGGGGCGAATTGGAAATGAGCGCGTTGCATGGCTTGCTGGTGTTGCTCGTCGGTCGGACGGGGTGTTGGCGCAGACTCGTCCATTTCATGCACTGTAAAAGAGCAACTTGTGGAGGAAGAAGTGCTGAGAAGAGGAACATGCGCGATTTTGGATTCATTGGAAGCAGGTCCTTTTATGGTCGTGGACCTGGTTCAATACTGGGCGGAGGTGGAAGACGATATGACCTGTCATTTGCCCTCGTCTTTACAGGGTCTCCCTTGCATGACGGATCCAATCTCTTCCAGCATGAGATGCCATCTCCAGTTTCATCCTGCAACAGCGTTCCACCTGTCATGCATGAACAGCAAAGCCTGCGCAAAAGTGATCGGGCTAAGACTAATGCACTTTCCACATTGATTTTACTGCTTCCAGTGTATCGGACAGAACAGATACGTCGAGGCGCAGACCGGCGGGAAGTAAAGTTTGCCACTAGGGGAGTTGGAAGTCTCCTGGCCAGAGAGACAGAGAATACTCCTTACAAACTGTTTTCATCATTGATCTATCATCCCGGAATATGCGCTCCCCGCATAATGACTATTTATTCCTTGTACTTTACCGGCTACTTGGCCTATGAAAAGGAAATTCCGTTAGAGAGGCCATTAAAGACTAGAAGTACTGAAACATATGCTAGCTGGAATAGCTATCTAGCTAAGATTAATAAGAGAAATCTGACAATTAGTTTAGTTTAGTAGAGTAGCCAGCTGCAAATACTTCCGGGACATGCAGTTTGTTAGGTGAGGCGGAGACTGGCTCCGGTGTGGAGTAGGGCGGTCGATTTTTTAGGGCTGGCTTGCTATTGAGGTATAGAACAGCGTTTTGAAACTAACGATCTTTTTGAATGATGTGTGGTTGAAAAAAGAAAATAAAAGAAAATTAGATTTAAGAACTGAGCTAACATGCTTGGTAGATGTTGAAAGTTAAAGAGGAAGTGAATAAGAAGCATTTTGTGGCCTGGCAGGTACCTTTGAAAGGAATAGATAAATGCCGAATGCCTCAACCACATGTGTTTGTGCGCTGGCCACAAATGCAACTGTTGGAGCTAACTGTTGAGTTCGCGTTGTGATTTGCCTTTAAAAGCCTGTGACTGACAAGTAAGACTGAAAGAGCGACAACTCTTTCGGGCTTGATCCATCCATGTTAGCGCATACAGCAATGTGACGCGGACCAAGTTTTCACTTTGAAGTTGTTGGTATATAGAAGATATCTGATAAAGAGAGTGGCAATGTGTTTTAAGACCGTTTATCTGTGATTTTGCGCGGTCACACAATGAGAGAGTATGATTCCTGAGTACACAGCCATTATACAGAACATTCTCTATCGACTGAGTTCTCTCTATTGACTATAGGCTTTTCGTTACATCGAGTCTCAATCTCATGGTGGCTGTCCAGTATTTGTATAAATTCAGTCCAGGGAGAACCATTGAGTCCTGTCATGCAAACAATAGACACGCAGCGATCTGGGATCGGTGGGGTCACTACCCGAAGACAGTCCGTCATCGCGCCCAGATGATAACAGTTAGATAAAGCTCCCGAGCCTAGTTGCAGCTAACGGAGCAGGATCTGTGGCTAGTCCCGTGGCCCAGATAGCCAAGCGGGGTGGGTAGCATAGCTGCCGATTACCCGACCAGATTTATGGCAGTTTATGCATGCACAAAGATATCTTTGTGCTGCAACAATGCAATATTTATGGTCTTTCGATTCCGTCTCGATCAATAGGACAAACAAGCATTAGCCCTACCAGGGCAACTAGCACCGTCCACCAATGGGAACAGAGAGCCCGGGTGAATGTGCAGTATGAGACATCCTCTGTGCACCTAGTCAGCTGCATAACCAGCCGCCGCACCTATCCGATATACATCCACATTCTGCATAACAAAATTATGTGAGGCGAGTCAGCGATCTGCACTGGCAGTCTTAATAGTCTCGGAGATCTGTGGCCGGCCATTACTCTCTCAACCACTGTCAATCAACACTGAGCATTACCCCTCGCAGATCCTGATACTTGGCCTCGTCGTAGGCTCTATGCAATGTTTGAAATTGGTCAGTGTCAGGAGATGGGGTAACTCACCAAGTCGGCTAAACCGATTTCTTCTGGGTAGTGCAGAGGACATATAAAGATCTTGGAATAGAATAGCAGATACAGTTGAGGTTGAACTATCCTTTTTCAAATCACTCGACTCAAATGTTCAACATTCAGGGCCTCTCAGGGCTCTATAGCCCCTCAAGCACCGCTTGGGTTTTGCTAGCAGGAAGCCTGGGAACGGTGAGTGCACATTCTTCCTGGTCCATGAAATCAAGGTTGAGCTAAACCACGGTTGTGCCGCGGAAAGATTCTGTTCTACACAGTTGCTCTTGTCCTGTACAATGTCTACCTCCATCCATTGGCCCGATATCCCGGGCCAACGGCAATGGCAGCCACGCGTATACCCTACATGCGGCTCACCATCGGGGGCCGGTTTCCGCAAACGATCAAGCAGCTGCATCAGCAATATGGCAAGGTTGTGCGGATTGCTCCGAATGAGCTCTCCTTCACTGATGGTGAGGCCTGGAAGGCCATCTATGGGACTCGGCCGGGGCATGGCCAAAAGGGAAAGGATTTCCGATTCTACTCACCCACGGCTGGAGGCGCCCCGAGTATCATTGTCTCGAACGATGCTGACCACTCCCGCTTCCGCCGCTTGATGGCACATGGATTCTCCGATAGCTCCTTGCGGGGCCAAGAGCCAATCATCAAGGGATATGTCGATCTGCTCATGCAGCGGCTGCGGGAGAAGTGTGAAGAGGGCGAGGTCGTTGACCTAGTCAAGTGGTATAACTTCACCACCTTCGACATTATTGGGGATCTAGCATTCGGAGAACCCTTCGATTGCCTCAAGAACTCCAACTACCACCAATGGGTGTCGATCATCATGAGCCAGGTCAAAACTGCTGCATATGCAAATGTGGCTCGTCGTCTTCCTGGATCCCTAGCGCTTCTGAAACTGATCACGCCCAAGCACATAATTGCGGAAAAGGATATACATGCCGCTTTGACGACGGAGAAAGTCCAGGCCCGGCTAAGCAAGACCAATGACCGACCGGATTTCTTCAGCAACATCTTGAAGCATGAGAATACCGAAAAAGGATTCACCACCCAGGAGCTAGTGAGCAATGGGAGTACGATCATCATTGCTGGCTCGGAAACGACCGCGACTTTACTTTCGGGGGTGACCTACCTGCTATTGAAAAGTCCCCGTGTGCTATCCAAGCTCCAAGACGAGATCCGATCGACATTTTCCGACGAAAGTGAGATCGACCTGGAATCCTGCAATAAACTCGAGTACTGCCTTGCTGTCCTTACCGAGGCACTGCGGGTGTATCCCCCAGTCGGACCGGGGCTTCCTCGTATTGTTGACGCTCAGGGTGATATGATAGCTGGAAACTGGGTACCAGGGGGTGTAAGTACAGCTCTGAATCCCCTACTCGAGCCCAATCAATAACGACATTGTCAGACTATTGTGTCTATCTCACAGCTGGCTGCAAATCACTCTTCCGACAATTTCACCGATCCCGAGCGATTCATTCCGGAACGTCATCTTGGGGACCCTCGCTTTGCGAATGATAGCAAAACGGCAATGCAGCCCTTTAGCTTTGGTCCCAGGAACTGCATTGGACGCAAGTAAGCTCAAACATGTTTTCCCTTCCCTTTAAAACGGATCTAACCGGTTCCTCTTTCTTTGATCCAGCCTAGCCTATGTCGAGATGCGTCTCATACTTGCCCGCATGGTCTTCAATTTTGACATGGAGCTCGATCAGCCAGGTTCCGACTGGCTGCACCAGGAATGCTTTGTCTTGTGGCAAAAGCCATCTTTGCCAGTCAAATTAATCCCCAGACACAAGTAGACATGGGCAGTGAGGCATATTGCTTCTAGGCCCAAGGAAAGGGTGTCTTGGGCTAGGTTCTCAATGCCCTCGGCTCATGGTACAAGACTGCTCTTAGCGATGGTTCATCAGAGGGACAAGGAAGAATCGCAATCTTCGACTTTTGCTGGGTCCTGCCACTTCTTATTCTGCATAAATACAAGCTTGCTGGATGACTGGCGCTCCAAGAGGCCAGCGTGAGACTACCGATGATACCTTCCCTCTCATTGGCTTGTTCCGGAGACCACAACGTTAGGCTCACTTGATAGAGAAGCCTCTCAAAATACACGGAAATATGTATTCGAATATTATTCTTAGGAAACAAAGACGTGCCCTCTTTGCACCTAGTGCTCTGAGTAACTAAGCTGGTTATATTATTAGATCCCAAATTGAGCACAGCCCCATTACCATTCCTATCAAATAGATAATTTGAGTAGGATTTGTATTCAGGAAGATAGTTTATCCTAGAATACTAGCTATATTTCCTTTTTTTTACTCTCTTTATGATATAATAAGACTGCAATACTAGTTACTTTCTCCAACTTACTGGTACTTTATAATGTTTACAATCTAGTTGAGTAGTAATCTTTGAAAGGCTTTGCCTATCATAGCACTTATGACGTGGGGATTATAGTCGGAAATATAGCTTGTGAATATTTACAGTTTATGTAGTTTTATTCATAAAAGCTTCAATTTCCAGTATATACTGGGGACTTAGGCCTTTGGTCTCCGTGCCATGTTGCCTCCTTTCCAGTGTGAGACAAACCCCGCCAGTTTCATGGGTGCTCTTGCAACCATGATGGTCCTTGTCGTGATTAGGCAGGCACAAGAGACTCTCACTACATCAACGGCCCCCGTATATCTGGGGCCGAACCCATTGCACTGGAGGCAGAAGACATAGATACCAATTTTGAACACTGGACAATGGAACAGTAATGTTTCTAATCACCGGCACCTACTGCTCATGCTCCCGGAAATGGTTCTGGCCTGATCGCAAAACTAGAACTCGTGGGCCGGTCATCTCTGTAGGAAAAGCAACACATCAAGTGACTGGATTCAAATAGCTACGCCGATGGAGTCTCGTTTGATTACATCTATCGGTTATGCACGGGATACGGAAGACTAAAGTCGAGGGACTGGGACATTTTGTATCATCACGTTTTGTCGACAGGAAGTTTCGCCGACCAGAGATTAGGATTAACTAGCCCTAGAAAACAACAAATCGGTTGGCAAACCACAAGGAGTAAGCGTCACATTGCTGCTCCATAGCCATATAGTGATTACTACCGTTACAATGGTACTATCGAATTTAATTCTGGTTCAGAAACAAGCAAACTCTTCCTTCCTTGCAGATCGATAAAGATGCACTTCGCCGTGGAGCCAGTCACTGCAAGGAGAATGGAAAGCAGGGGGCATGGAAGATGTTGATTTGTGACGAGAAATCCATAATATTCATAAGAAGCTCATAATTAAGTACATATTCTGCCCACATAACAAATCAATCTCCATAAAACATTCCATCATCATGATCATCTGTACGTTGCCAACAAGAAAGAAAAGAGCATTAGTGATATCCCAAGATCTGTACCCGATTCCTGCCCCCCCCCCCGCCTTTTTCTTTATACATTATTCATCATTAGAGCCGTCGTATAATCCATCATATATCCATTATCAGGGTGGGACACGGTAGTGTGACAGGTTGCATCCCCCCCGCAAAGCCAAAATTCCCCCCTGGAAGGGAGGAAGCCTAGCACACCATCTTGTAGCTCAACAAGCCCGCGGCAGTGCCGCTGAGGCATTGTCCCACGGTGGGATCGTGCTGACCGGTGGTACAATCATCACTGTCGAAGATTTGGACTGCAGAAGATGAATAATCAGTTCGAGGATTCTATAAATTCTCATCTGAAGAATTGAGGGGATGGGCTTACTGCCGCAGCCATCAGCGTTTCCTTCGAAGCTGACGGATTGGGTGATGTAATCGCCGAAGGTCAAGGACGAGCATTGGTTGAGTTGCGAGCCGTAGATGCCCAGTTCGCCCAGATTCAGGGTCGCGCAGTCGGGCTCCCCCCACAGGCGGAGTTGGATTACCCGGGTATTGTTGAAGCTGGCGGCGGGGAGGGCTAAGGCCGGGGCGGCGGAAACGGCGACCGCGAGGGCAGTGGACAGAAACAGGGAGAACTGCATGATGGCGGTGATGGTGGTAAATTGGAGGCGGAAGGGCGTGCTTTCTAGAATGAGAGATAGATAGGTACAATTGTAGCGTGAGAAGGATTTGGTTCCGTTGTGTTTTTATGAAACGATGGAAGGGAGGTTGGTCATGCTCTGTTTATATAGGCAATAGTGCGAAGGCGCAGTCGGCGGTCTCCCCCACATTCAAACACAACCCAGCAGGATCTGGCCTGGTGACCATCTGTGACAATTGCCATGTTGGGGAGATTTTCCCGCGCATCAGCGGAGAAAGAAGCAACGCTCGGCGTCCTGTGCGCCCTGCACTTGGACGATCAGTACCGTGAAGGAACGGAAAGATGATGCCGGCCCGTCAGCAGGCGAGAGGGCCCACTCAATGATGTCGCCCTCTTCCAACCTTAATGACGCTGAATACGCTCACCATCTTTTTTGCCTTTTTCAACACTTGCTTTTCATGCTATTGACGTATGGAATTTCTCGAATTCAGGTTGAAGATGAGCGTCTGTCCATCTTTCAACTTCTACATTTTGCTTTTTGTTCCCCGTTGGAGCGTGTAACAGCGGGACCAGTTGGCAATCGGCCATAAGGGCTGGAGGCTGGGGGTTGAGGCTGAGAAAAACCGGGCAAAAGACGGCTCACTACATGCATGCATGTCTCGCATGCACCGCCACATCCATCAATGTTGCGGGCAATGTCGCGGATGAGCCGGGTCATCATAACGCGATCAATGCGATCGAAGTGGACGGGATCAAGATAGAGCGTCACCATCACTTGATCGCACGTCCATGATGTCTTGTCTGCCTTCTATATTGGGAATAGAAAAGCTGGTTGCTGCCCAAAACGTCTCGGATGCGACCGGGAGGGAAGGTCATGACACGGAGGTCATTCGTCCAGTTGCCATTCAAAGCAGTAGCTGGGAGATCATGCTGAGATATGCTGACGCGGTGCAGTTGAGACATCGCAGTCTGTCACTAATCCGGAGTATTCATTAGAATGCATACACATCCAGTGACCTGTCAATCATGGTGGAACTTACTGGTACGTATCCATCTGTGATCAGTATTTACACTTTTTCTTTTTGAAATTTCATGTTTTATCAAATTCAACCTTCTATTTGTGTATAAGTAAACTGTTTTGCTGTAATTCCCGTTTGCTTATCCAATTAGAGTATCGCTGTTTTTATAAAGGCAGTATATAAACAATCTGTATATACTCTAAAATACTTATAGATTACTTACAGAGTATATATTTAGAAATTCCAGTTGCTTTCGGATTACTCTGACTTATTTAGTTAGTAATTTTAAACAGCTTTTACTTACTTACTATAGTAAATTATATAATTAGAAAAGGCTTTCTAAACCGTACGCAACTAATACTTATCAAAATCTGAGGTATTAATATAAATTTATAAAATTGAAAAATATTATTAAAATAATAATTATTAGCTTTTTTTAGTTTTTGTAATTAAAAATATCTTTAATACTGATTATCTGTTTATCGCAAATGGATAGATTAATAAGAAATAAATAATAATATTTAATCTAAGATATTTTTCTTTTAGTTTGAATATAAATAGAGCCTACCTCACCCGAGTTTATCAATTATTAATTTATTTTTTTATATATTTTCTATCTTATTTTTTTATATTTTATTTTTTATTTAATTTTTTAATTTTATTTATACTTACTGATAATAGCCGTTCAGACCTCTACTTTTAGAACTAACTAAAATAAAAAAAACTTATTATTAACAAGAATTCTCTAGGACTGGGCGAATTCTGAATAGCTTCACTTTCACCTCAATAAGACCTTACTTTTCACTTAAACTTTATATGGAATCCATAAAAATTTCAAGTAAGGGGTGAAGTAAAAGTGAAAGAAAAGTGAAAGATCAATAAAATCAATTTCTTGAATAGAAAACTGATTGAACTAATGAAACTTATTGAATTGAACTGAAACTGCTTGCTCAACTAATTAAAAAAACAATAAGGATTAACCTTTTATTTATAGCTGAATAGCTATATTAATTCTCCGAGATTTTCCGCGATCACATAAAAAAACACATAAAAAACTCATAAAGATAAAAAAATCAATAAGTTCCTATTAAATAGAAATAATAAAATAAATAGAAGTAGACTATTCCAGACTGTTTTTCCTGCTGAGGAATTCGGAACTCGGGAATCCACTCCGCGAACTTATTAACCTGAGGCAGCGAACTGGCGAGCCTGAGGCGACGAATTAGAAGGCCTGAGGCAGCAATCTGGCTATATTGTTGACAATTATAAACTCCGCTAAGAGCGAAGCTATAATACAGATATTTATTAAATTGAGAATATTTAGAAATTAGAAGATAGAACTTCCCGAAAATAAAAGAAAATTATAAAAATAGAGTATATTATTATAAAAAGTAAGTTATTAATCTTAAGTTCTAGAATATTAAGTCTTTTTATATTTTAATAGATTTTTGAAAGAAGAGAAGAAATTATCCAAAAACTATAAAATTAAAGTTAAATATTAAATACCGGATTTAAAAAAGTTTAAAAAATTTATTTACTGGTATATTAATTTAATTATAAATAGACTTAATTCTAATAGACGTCCGACTATAAATTCGATCTTAATTTAAATTTAAAAATTTATTTTAGGATTTTATTTTAAAATTAGAAATAAGATTTTTTTATTAGCACAGACAGAATCTATATAGCATAAATATATTTTATACTGAAAAAAGTATATAAAAGTTATATAACTAACTTTTAGTAATACATTAAGTATAATTTAATTATAAAATAGTATATTAAAAATATAAAAAGATCTAAGTATAATTTTAAACTAAAAAGTTTTAAGCGTGCTATAGTCGCTTTTTAGACTATTAATAATCTATTTTTTATAACTAAAAAATACTATATTTAGTTTTATTTTATTACTCTGCAGAATCTATATATAAGATCCAGAATATCTTTTTTAATTCTAGCATCCGAAAATAAAGCCGGTAGGAGTTTCTATTATAAGATAAATAAAAATATAGTATTAGTTCTTATAATTAGCTGTTAATAATAATAAAATATTAAATTTATCTCCTTTCGTAATACAGAAGCTTCTTAGAGAATTAGATAGTATTTAAATTAATAATTTATTAAAAATAATAAAAATTTTAAAAATATTATATAAATAGCACGTGCAAGCATTCCTGCAGAGATATAAATATAGATTAATATTAATAAATTTAATACTACTATTTAGAACTGTAATAAACTAATTTATTTTAGATTATTATATCTTCTAAATATAGCTTTTATTAATAATACTTTTTTTAGATTCTTAAAAATAATAGAAGTTTTTAAGTAGAGAATCTTAAAGAAGAAGAATAAATTAATTCTTCGGTAGAATAATAAAATTAGAAATTAATATATTATAAAAAGGATTTTGGTAATTAGAGTCAGCGAAGACTTATAAATAAAAAAAATATTAAAAAAATACAAAAAGATATCTTACTAATACTAATTATTTATTACTGCTATAATTTATATTATATCCTGTAAGTTAAAAAAGATTATGTAAAATTATTTATTATAGTTTTTTATTATAAGCTGTTTTTTAAGTTTAGCTAATACTTCTTACAGCTAGAGTAGCTTAACCTGACCGTTATATCTTAACCTTAACCTGGCCATAACCTGGCGGTCAGGTTAAGATATAAAAACTTTTTAACCGTACAGTTAAAATCAGATTAAGATACAATTATTATTTTAACTATTTATATATATAGATTAGAAAGATTAGATATAGCAGATAGATTAATAACTGCAGGTTAATTTATAATATATGTATTCTTCTTATATAAATAATATACGAAATATAATATATTTTTAATTATAGTATAGTAATATTCTCTAATTTTAACCAATCTGTTTAATCTGATTAATATAACTGATCTGATTAATCTATTTAATCTATTTAATCTAATTAATTTTTTTTATCTGTTCTACTATACTATCTATTCCATCTAAGAAATATATTATACTTTATAAAAGACTTTTACAAAATCTAATATAAAAAAACAGTATTTATTATTAAATATACTAATAATATTATACTACTTTTTATACTGTCCAGAACAGTAATTATAATAATATAGAAATTATAAAAACCGGATTTCTATTTCTATTTAAATATATATAATATTCGAAGATTTAGATAAGGCTGATTCTTCTATTGCTAATAATAATAATCTATTATTAGAATTATTTCAAAATTATTTATATTTTTATTTTTACTAATATAAAAAATAGTAATTATCTTATTCTTCTCTTGCTTCTTAGATGTAAAGATAATCGAATCTAAATTAAGATTATTAAAAGTATTTTAATACTTTTTATTAATAATAAAATAATTAGTATACAATTTGAAGTATAACTGTTTTAATTATATTAGAATAAAAACAGCTCCGGCGATAGTAGCAGATATTTTAAAAACTATTAAATAAATATTTAATACTAATATTATTAGTTGTAACTAAAAGACAATTCTAATTATTTAATAGAGAATAGAAAACTAATTACAGCGGGACTTTCAGTAAGCAAAAATATCAGTATATTTTATAATATCTAAAATATTATTAGTTTAATTAAAAATATTTCTTTAAGTTATATATTTTTAATATTAAGATATATCTTAAGTTTTTTAAATATTTCTACTGCGGATAAAAGTCTCCGGCGTTTTAAAATATTATAAAAGACTTTATCTAAATTAGATAATAATAAAGAATCAGATAATAGTATATTAATCACCGGATGCTAACTGTAATAAAAAAAAGATTTTTTTAAAAACAGTTCGGTACTTGTTATACCAGTTAATATTATTATTAAATTATATATTTTTTAAACTTCTTAAGTTTTGATATCAGATTTAGAATAATTATAATTATATAAATATAATTTTCTATCTAATAGATATAATAGTAGTATTTTCAAAGCTTTAATATATATTCTGTAAGTCTTCGAGAATCTTCTTCTTTCAGAGCATCCGTTTTTTTACTAATTAGTTAATTAAATAATCTAAATAATTAAAGAGATTATTATAAATATTATAAATTTTATAAACAGTAGGCCTACTGTTCTCAGATAA